CGAACCGTTGAGGCTGTACTCCAAATAATGCAGAACTCTGGTCACCCATGTCGTTCAACGGTCGGCTTGCCGTCTAAGACTCACCTGATGGGTCACTCATTCAAAAATATCGACTAGAATGCAGGCGTCGTATTTCCTCTGCATGTGTACTATTTGAAATTCTCTACCACTCCACATTGTTTCTGCTCCCACAATTGATTCTTTCAAGTATAAAGTGAATACAACTTTCAGTAGCCTTAAATTTTGAGATCCGTAGCAGTACACGAAACGAGGATAATTTGTGATATTCCTCATCTTCCTATGAACAGTAATTCGATCTTTATCGGACACGAAAATCAAGCGCTTGTAAGTATTCCCATAATAAAACCTTGAATACTTCTGAGATTCCGGGCCTTTTAACTTTCAAGGCAATGGAATTGCTTCACGTAGTTTTCATTTCCACTGTTTGGTCGTTCAACGGGTGCAATAACCCCTCTCATTTGTATGGTTTGTGTCGATCGTTACAATACTGCGCGTGCTCTTTTGCGTGTTGCCCGATTCGCTATTTCACCGGAGTGGAATTTTATGCATGGTGTGTTTACTTTCTGTCTGTGACTTCCCTTCTGGTTGTTGGAGATGCCCCTGAAATCCGTTGACTACCTTCTCAGCTTTCTGTTTCATCTTATTTTGTTCTGCACTCGCAGAATTTTTGTCGAAAACAAGTGTTTACCAAACGAACTGCGAGTTCACGGCAAAGTTCTGTTGATCTTGCGTATCTCGTGCATATCAACGAAAATATGTGCGTTATCACTATTATTATTGATCTCCAACTCACAGATACTCGTGAGCAGTGGTGTGAGAGGAATGTTATTCATTGATTGATTGATCATCCTTCCCCACTCAGTGTGTACGGTCGACTGAATGTCAAACTGAGGGTTGTGCGTGATGATGGAGTCTGAAGGACGTCCAGTTCAAATCAATTATCATCAATATTGTTATTGTTAATTGTACAACATTTGGCTTCTGATTTCTCAGCCGGTCATGTTTGATCTGGGTAGATTTCCCGTTCAACATGCAAATGAGACATTCGTGCGCGCGTTTGTGCGTCCATAATCAGTTCTGTCTTGTACTAGCCGGGTCTGTATACCATGCGCGGACAATGGGAGGACAGTTGAGTTTGATTGTGTTCACGATACAACCGCATCGACGACCAAACGGTGCGCTCTGAAATGATTCCGATGAGATTCGATGCACTTGAATTGGGATCTGTCGAATCGTTTGGTACGGTGCGTTCAGTCTTTGCAAATCCCGTACAAGCACGATACGGTAATGCCCGGTCAAATGGATATACTGACGTGATTGTCCTTCCTCGAGTTCAACCCGACAAGGTTTCCATACTGAGGTCAATTCCGTCATCCTGATGCCATAGGGAAACGAGTTATGCAGATGTGTGTAGTAATAATTGTTGGAATCATGATATCACAATTCTGTCGGTTTGATAATTGCCTCGTGCACAATAAAAATAAAACTGATTATAATGATGATGAACTTCTGGTTTCCGTCTGCTAGATGTACATATTTAATTTCATGACAGAGTTGTTCGCATTCAAAAGTTGCTAGCTAAAATTATTCGCACTACAAATAACCGATAAGATATGTGAACACTTCAAATCTATGGATTTTCTGGATTCGTCATCATTATTTNTTATTTAACGACCTACGGCGGAACGAACACTCTTTCCTGATAGAAGACATATAAATGACGCCAAAAGGTCAGGAGGAACGTACTCAAAGTAGGCCATCGGCAAACCCGTCGTCCGATCCACGTCGATTTCCAGTCGCAATACGTTGTTTCTCACGTAGTGTGCACGAAACCATTCCGGAGTGGAGTCGTTCGATGCTACCAAATGTGAGGGAGTGTGGACGAAAATGTGTGATTCTCATTATATATGGTGTCTATTGTAAATATCTACTACCAGATGAGAAGTCGGTAAAAAAGTGGGCGCATTTGAGATGTTCTGCACAGTATATTGATACCGTTTCTTTCGAATGGCACCCCACCCCAAAACAGCTGATCGCTTTCGTTCTATGCACCAATCAACAAAGGGGACGGATAAGGACATCATCACTATTGTGAAGCGAACTTCACTGATCGCTGCCAAACTCATAATGCATAAGATAAGTGATAATGTGTGAGGAGGACAGGGATTGGGCCTACTTTTAGGGACGGGAAAAGAAAGCTAACCTCTATGGTCAACACAGAGTACACAACCCAACTGTATATGCATACAATTTCAAGCATTCTGGTCTAATACGAAGTGACAGCATAATCACCATTGCTATCTGTTTGTAGCCATGACCTTCAGTATCTCCAACCATGCGGTTTTGCAGTCTTTTGGACCCCAACCCGGAAGAGGAGAAACACCTACTCTACCTAATCGCTTTGTGCATCTCTTTATGCCTTGTCTCCACGTGGCTTTCTCCAACCTTTAACAACCACTGCAAATAAAGCGCGCTGTGGTAGGTGGCGCTCGAACATACGCAAAACGTGTCCTAACCAACGGATCCTATTGAGCTGAATTCAATGCGATAAAAAGTTCTTGTTCGATGCATTTCTAAACACCCGACGACTTACTTCTAAGTTGCTAATCCGCTCACTCCATCCAACCTGGGCAGACTACGTAAGCATCGATTGTCCGTATATCTGGTCAAATGCACGCTTCCATGCGGCATGTCGAATTTCCGAAATAAGCTGCAGTATTACGTGTAATTGCAGTGAAAAATGAGGAACAATGAACGAAACATCGAAGCCCCTCTTCTGGTGCGCTGTCCTACCGAAAATTTTGAAAAGCAAGTCAGGTAAATGAACCTGGTAAAGAAGTAATCAGTCCGATTTGTACACTCCCAAACTGAAAACCCCATGGGAGCCGAAGTCACACCTCTCGTGCACTGGAGCATCCTAACTGTCGAACCTCTCCAAATAACCTTCATTGACTTCGGTTGTTCGACGGAAGCCACACCGAATTTCGTCCGAGCAATGCCACACGAAAAGACGATATGAGATTTCCAGATGGGACTCAGTATGCATGCAGGGGATCGACTAATGCACACGACGGTATTTAACAAATGTGACTGGCAACATGTCCCTAAATGCAAATGGGCTATCTTAAAAATAAACTAACAAAATCGGAGGGAACTTGGGTTCATTGATTTATCCTTCAGTAATACATGTTCTATTCACATGTCGAAAGTTTTCTCGGGCTCGCTCAAAGCTGTGCCGTGGATGAAATACCAAAAGATGCCAATGTTTATTGTGCTTACGTCACTGCATAAACAGTTTAGCTCAGTTCAGTTGTTACATCCATTAACCATGCACCTTCGTACGCCGGTTTTGGTTGCTGTCTTTTGACTGCCCATTTAGATAAGAGAGCAGAATGAAGAATGAATGGATGTCGAAAGCAAATTGAAGCGGAAGATGAAAAATTCATACAGAGTGGTATTAGGAGAATAATGAGTGGATGCACGATCGACACCCAGCCATATCACTCATTGTCTCTAACTTTCAGTGACCATCATCTCGGGGTCCCTATCCACGAGGCCTGTGACCTAGTCTCCTGGTTAGGGTTTTCATACCCTTATGCTAGGTCTTCGTTTGACCACCTCTGACTTTTTTCCGACCGCTACCTGCCTCGAAAAACAACAATGGTTGTTTGTTGAGGTCACTCGGACGGACAAACAAGCAGGAAAACAAATCCAGATGGATTGGATTATTGCTGGCGTGCGATCCGATAAAATGTTTCGGTCCCAGACGTAACGACAGAAGTCCAGTGCTGATTTGATTTGATTTCTAAGCCAAGGACCAAAATGCGCTATTCATGTTAGAGAATACGTTTCTGTCGTGTCTGATTGTATAGTGGAACAGACTTTCCTCTCGCCATTAGCCACCCAATCAATAGTCAGCGAGTTGATGCCATAAGCCAATATGAAGATGCTACTGTCCACTGCGTATACAGTGCGAAATGTTGGCTGTTGTTCTCTGAAATTGAGTTGACCCATTGACCGGCCTGCAGCCCAGATCCAATCTCGAATGAGAAACTGGATCATACTTATTCGGAAAAATACAGCGGTCTGCTATTTTTGTATTGCACGCTTGTGGTTACTCATCATCGGAAAGCTTTTGAATCGGTGTGCAGTTATTTCCCTCTTGTTGCGGAAACATCGAGTCGGACTCAGTTGTGGCTGAAACTCTGTGGAGAAATTATTCATCTTGAGGTCTATCACTGTTTTTCTTTTTAAGCTCGATAGATCGAACATCAATGACATGCCCTATAATTGTCAACAGAATACCATTTGTGGACAGTTAGCCTGAATAACCCTGATGATCAGCTTGGTCGATTTTCAGTCTGTCTCTCCCTATCCATTTTTTAAACCCAAATAGGTTTGATGTATGCTTGTCCTTGTTGCTGATTCCTGACAAAGATGAACTAGATGTACCGCACTTGATTGGTGAATTACACGTTGTCTGCAAAATGAAAATAAAATCCAGGTCTGCATCAACTACATCCGGAGTCCTGTTGTATGCCAGGATTCCTTTTCAGTGACCTCTGCGTCATTTCAAAGAGTTCACTCGAAATCCCCTATTCCGCATTAGTTCTCTTTAACCATGAGTCGATTGATGTTTCTGGGATAATTTTAGTAGAGTAGACGTTGTTTAACTCGAGACAAATCAGAGAATCAATACATGTTCAATTTGTAAATCAAATCAACTACCTGCGTTCGCATAGTACCACATATCTTTCCAGGCCGGGTTTCCGAATAGACGTATTTTATCCGACAGTTTTCGATTCCAGACAGCTTCCGGTAATTCATCCTGTTCTCGGGCTTTATGATCAAATCTTGTGGCACGATCCGTATTTCCTGCTATGGTAATCACATTCACTCGTGTCGCCAATTGACGAGCTGGTTGCGGTGGTCTAAGTTCCGGATGTTGTTGAATCGTTTCCACCGAGTCCCATTTGTCATCGATTTCTGTACCGCCAGGTACTTGTGGTTTGTCTTTCAATAATCGCAACCGATCGAACGTATCCCGTGTCTTTTCCAAGAGCTTCACCACCGGAAGTTCAGAGTGATCTCGTAGCACATTGTTCAGTACAAAGCACAGAACAGAACCCTGTCGGGAAATCGGAAAATTTTTTATCAACAAAGTGTATAATCAGTCGATTGTACGTTTGATAAAACGAATCCGTAATATTTTTCAGGGATCCGAAGAGGTAGATCAACAAAGCAGTTTACCATTTCATCTGGATTGTTCAAAAATCGGTGTAACTGTTCTAAGAATACATTTCGCTTCAACAAAAAGGTGTGAACTACTGTCATCAGATTTGGTTAATCCAGTTTTCAGCGGACGCATCATAGATGAATTGTCGACACATACGGAAGCTTCGGTCGGCGTTTGTCAAATTGCGTATCTTTGGCGTCACAGGAAAAACCAGCTGTTCATCCGGTTCTACTTTACGCTTCAGGGACGACCACCACGGATAGAGGATAAACAAGACTATCGGTGTCCAAACAACGTGTGGAGCAACCCTAGGAGAGTATCAAGTGGTCGTGGTTACTAATCGGTGCAAGCGGTTAATCTCCGTGGTTCTAGTGTATTGGACATGCCGCCGTGTAGACTTTCTTGGTGTTCGATTTATGTTCAGACGAGCGGTAGTTGAATGAATGTTAATGGTGGACAAACTAAAACCTGATCAATTGGGTACGTTGAGGTAGGGGTCCCGGTTATGGGTCTTGCTATAAACCGAACCCATGGTCAATGAAACGAGTTGTATAGTCCAGCCTGGTAGACGATGGCGCTTTTCCTATCACTACTACCACTCCTATTTGAAGCCATTGATTCCCCTCCTCATTGGTTACCCAAATGAGTAGTTAGAAGACAGTCACCAAAGCCACAGTATGTCAATGGCTGTACACATTGAACTGCCTGCGTGCGGATTTAGCTGTTGTAAGGGATTATCAAAACGCACATTTCTGTGAAGTTCATTTACAAATAATTACATCTATGGTGGTATGATTGCATGTGCGTTTATTGGAGAAGGAGGCGGAAACTGTAGTAATTGTAGTACGCACTGATCACGAAATACGAATCAAGAACGCAACGTAAGCACTGGAACACACTGGTACTTGCACTACAGTATCCTACGTAACCGAGACGCGAGGAAAAGGTTACATGAATGGTAGTTCATTTGTTGAAAGAAATCAGAGGGACTAAATAATATGTAGAAAACAAGTTCATTGGCCGTCCAAGTCTCTGCCAATCACGTGCTAGAATTTCCGGTGTTGTTCAGCTTTTGTCTGAGCCGCACGTCTTCTGATTGGTCGGTACAATCGGCCTATGGTTTGTGGTCCAGAAGCTGTGACACGTACGCGCTGACGTCACCCGGAAGCCTGATTGATCGCAGTTATCCGAAACTTGTCACTCTGTGGTATACGCTAACTCGTAGGCTAGGATCACCACATGAACTCAACCTCCCGATCCGTCAGTCGGTGGATTAGAAAGTTATCAATAATTACTTGATGTCTATCGTTTGCGCGAGTAAGTATACCACGTAAGTTTGGCTCAGAAATGTTTCGAACTTCATCAATTCTCGCGGGTAATTTATGAGATAAATTGGCATCGCTTATTCAGTCTTGTTATTTTTTACATGATCCCATGCTTCGTTATATTCTCAGATCTGTTTGGCAATGATGGGAAAACACTGAAAAGGAAGATTCCCTAAATTTCCTGATACAAGTCGTTTGACAGCTGCTCAAGGTTAAGATTAAATAATAGTGCACATCCATCTAGCTCACTGAATAGAAGAGCCTCGGAACTTCACTGGCAGTAGTTAGTTTTCTTTGTCTCACTATCATCGTACTGTGAGATACAGTGAAGCGAACTTTACTGGTCTCTGCAAAACTCGCAATGCATACAAGGTTCATGGTAAAATTTAAGGTGGACAGCGTTATACATCCAGAAGGAGGTGCTGGTCGAGGATCATCGCGTATTGGGGATTTCATATGAAACATCACCAATTTGGCATACATAGCACAACAATCTAATCAGAAACGTACCATAGCAGTTCCTGGCCACACGACGGGTAATGAATGTAGAAATCAATGGTTCTTCTTTGGGACTCAGCAAATCGCCCTCAGTGATCTTGTTGATTTTTGGTCGTTGAAAGTAATCACCAACCATGTTACTCACTACTCACAAGTGAGTAGCATCTCGCGACAGACGGATTAAAACTGCATCGAACGTGGGGGGAGGAAGGTAATCCTCTTTGATCAACACACGAGTGCACAATCGAACTCTTCATACATACCGTTTCAAGAATTCAGGCAACAGGAACGCCACTGCTGTCTTCGGTTCGCTGCTATAACCGTCAATGTCTCCAACCAACCAGTTGCGTAGTCTTTCGGACCCCAACCTGGAAAGCGTGTCACAACGACTCTACCTAATGGCTCCGTGTAATTCTTCATGTCTCGTCTCCAGGTTATCTGTTGACCTCCACGTGGTTTTCTCCAGCCCGAACGGGATACAGAGAATAGGGCGCGATATGGTAAACCGTAGCTGGCAACACACAATACGTGCCCTAGCCAGCGAAGTTAACTAATCGGAATTCGATGCGCTAGCAGGTTTATACCTGACAGACTTCCAAACACTCGACGGCTTACCTCCACACTACTAACCTGTTTGCTCCATCCCACGTGAGCTGAACTACGTAAACACCGATAATCGAAAACTTCTAGTCGATGGATATTTTCTACTCGCAATTTCAAGGTTTTACAACCATAAAGCAGAACTGAACGAATAGTAGCACAATATACACGACCTCTCAGCTTCAGCGAAACGTCCCGTCTACGCCAAAGGTGTTTCGGTCCTGCGTATGCTGCTTGCGCCTTGGAAATGCGGACGGTTATCTCTTTCGCTGCGCTACCGTCATTGGTCACGCAACAACCAAAGTGGGAAAAGCAATCCACTATAACTAATTCCTGACCATACAGTATCAAAGTAGGATTAGGTGACACTCAGCCTGGTAGCATCACATTGAAGGCTCAAAGCACATCCAGAGTGTGACAACCACACTTGTTAGTCTATCAAGTTCGCTTTGCGCGTCCTGCGTACATTCGAACAGAGAGATGATGTTATGGGCGTACTTCAAATCGAACAGTTTTCCTCCAGCTACCCATTCAATACCTACTCACAGAAGCGGCAAAAGAGGGCACCCTGGACGAACGCTGCTGCTGGTGACGAACGGTCTAATTGGTTTCGTATCGGCCCTTACTCGACCGGAGGTAGGTGAGCACGGTCACCTCAATAAGTGAACGTACCTCTGGGGCAATCCTTTTTGAAAAAGGGAACCTATTAGAGCTTCGCGGTTAACTGTTAATAATGCACCTCGCCCAAATTCTCAGATCCTGTTTCGTCGATCCTGCACAACTCTTGGGGACATCTTGTGAATTCACATTAATGTT